GAGCTGCAGCTGCCCGCTCGGGGCGGTGGTGCTGCCGGGGGGCTGGGGAGCCTCAGACCCTGACACCGTCCCCTCTCGCTCCTTCCAGCTATTCCCATGCCCTGGACGGCATGTACCGCGTCCTCCGGGAAGGTGAGGCTGTGCCAGCCGGGGTAGGGTGAGCCTACTGGGGGTGTCCTTGCTGACACTGGGAAACTGTGGCAGGAGTGGCCCAGGGAGCTCCGTCCGGGAGCTGCCGCGGGTGCTTGCTCAGCCGGGGCAGGGAGAGGGGACGGAGGGTGGCCGTGGGGCCGATGGGGCCAGGGGAGCTGAAGGTCAGGCAGGACCCAGCACCTCTGCAACATCTGGCTGGGGAGGCAGGGCCTGGCAGCCTGCCTGTACTCCAGTGGAAAAGAGAGACCTGCCGGGAGCCGCTATAAAAAAGTGCAAGAGGGTGGAGCAGGTGGGAAGGGGAAAGAACGGCAGCGGGGAGGAGGTAGGGCTGTTCTGAATGATTCTCCTTTCCTGCAGCATATTCGCTGTTGTGTGTTTTAAGCACTGTTGTATGAGGAGTCTGGGATGCAGATCGGGCAGGGAAGGAGGCTCCGGGGGGGAAGAAAGTGTGAGTAACGTCCCAGGACTGTGCTGATCCCCATCTGTCTGTATACAGAGGGCTTGAAGAAACTCTTCTCAGGAGCTACGATGGCATCCAGCCGAGGGGCCCTAGTCACCGTTGGGCAGGTAGGACAGCTCTGCTGGGCAGTAGGTGCCTGGGGAAGGGACAGGGGTAGGCCCTGGCATGGCGAGGAGGGGGGACATGTCACTAATACGCTGTGTCTCCGCAGCTCTCCTGTTATGACCAGGCCAAGCAGCTGGTTCTCGCGACTGGGTTGCTGTCAGACAACATCTTCACTCACTTCCTGGCCAGCTTCATCGCTGTGAGCAGGGCTGGGTGCGGGGAGGCAGGACTGGGACTGAGTTTGCCTGCAGCCGGGCTCAGGACCCGAGGCTGGGCTGCCAGAGCTGCCTCTCAGGACTCTGATGAAGCGCGGCCGGGCACAGAGGCTCCTGTGGGGCTCCCAGCATAGCACTGGGCACAGGCAGGGCTCTGGGTCTCTCCAGTGACCATGGCAGTCGCTGGCACCTGGGTCTTCTCCGTGAACTGGAGCTGCTGACCCCTGCTGATTCTCCCCAGGGCGGATGCGCCACATTCCTGTGCCAGCCCCTGGATGTGCTCAAGACCCGCCTCATGAACTCCCAGGGCGAGTACCGGGTGAGTAGCCCATCCTGCCCACCTCGCTGCTGCCGGTCCTGTCCCCTTTGCGCACTGGCCTCTGCCTCCCGGTGCCTCCTCATCTCTCTCCCTCTCGCCCCAGGGTGTTGCCCACTGTGCCATGGAAACTGCCAAGCTCGGTCCCCTCGCCTTCTACAAGGTACCTAGCTGGGGATGCGTGGGACGGGCTGGTAGGGTGGAGCGTGGGAGACTGACTGGGAGCAGAGGTCCAGAACAGTTCTAGGGCAGGAGTCTTTCAGGCTCTGCTGCTTGCAGCCTGACTGCTTCCTGCGTCAGGCCTTCGTCTGCCGGTCCCCAGCTTGGCCCTGGACTATTGTGAGCCTTGGCCTCTTCTGGGCTTGCAGCCTGGGTCTGGGCACCGCAGCAGCTGCCCTGTTGCACCCGTTAGGTTCCCAAACGGGAATGCAGGTATGGGCAGTGGTGCTCCAGCGCTGGGTGGCCCTGCGTGCCTGGGCTTGGTGCAGTCACCCGTATGTTCAGTCTCGCTCCTGGTAGGGATCCTGAAAAGGGGTTTCAAACCCGAGGTTTCTTCCGGATGCTGCCAGTCAGGCATTTTTCCTGTTAAGGCCTGTCTGCTCATCTTCCCCAGGCAGCGTCCAATCCCCTTCTGAACCGGGGGCTGTGGGATCTGGCCCAGGCTTCTACTGAGATTCTGCCTACGTAGTGGTGATGCCAGCACTGATGTGTTTGGGGGCAGAGGGGTTGATGCATGATGCTGAGATCTGTGTGCACAGCGATGGCTGCGGTGCCTCCCTCACTGCTGTGGCAGTCTCTGCCTGCCACCGCGGCCCCAGCTCCTCGGAGCTCGTGCTGCATGCCCAGCCAGCCGCTTCCCTGTGCTTGCAAGCTCGTGCTGCTCCCCGTGGGTTGGGCTACTGGGCACCCTTGGCCCTGATGGGGAAGCCCAGGGCCGGGCACACGCTGACTCTCCTCATTCTTGCTGTCCCCTTCCAGGGCTTCGTTCCTGCTGCCATCCGGCTCATTCCTCACACTGTCCTCACCTTTGTCTTCCTGGAGCAGCTGCGCAAATATTTTGGGATCAAAGTGATCACCTGAGTAGGAGGGGCAGGACCCTGCCTCACCCCAGGGGGGTGAGCCTGCGGGTCACCGCTGAGATCCCAGAACCCCTCTCTGCTGTCTGGGGCCAGTGCCACTCCCCGTGCCCTCATCCCCGCTCCTGTGCCTTGCCAGTACCTATGGCCAGCCAGTCCCAGACTCCCCTTTCCTTTCTCCCCCCATTCTCAGCACCTCCATTACCTCTGGGAGATTCTTGGGCCTCTTGTCCTCTCTGCACTGTTGGTTTGGGGTTTGTTTTTTTTTTTTTTGCTGTCTTCCCACTGCCCTGCTGGCCACGAGTTCTGCCCCTACCTCCCTCAGCCCTGTCCCCACGGGTTTCTGGGAGCAGGACTGCACTGATCTGGGGAGGATGGGGGATCCGGCCTTCTGGCTCCAGGCCTGGTCACAGAGCCTACGGGGCTGGGGGCCGGTGGGAGCAGTGACCACACCGCGGCAGGGCCTGTGCTGGGGGCAGCGGGGCGGGGGGCTGGCGTGCTCCCAGCCCCTCCTGCAAGCAGCGAGGGGAGACGCAGCTTTAGCACACTAAGGCCCCATCCTCCTTTACTGCCTCTGGCTCCACGTGCTCCTCCGCTGACCCCAGGGCAGCCTGGCATCCCCAAACACCCCCTGCTTCTGCTTGGCCAAAACTCACCAGCACCCCATGGTTGCTGGGCTCTTCAGGGATTGATTGTGCCTCATACCAATGATGACAGAGAACGGACCCGTGGGCGAGGGGCAGCCGCTCGGCCGCCCTGCCCTGCTGGCCAGGCCTGGGCTGGAGCCCTTCTTGCCTGGCCTGCCCTCACCCGCGGCAAGGCCGGCAGCTGCACCGCTGTCCCCCGGCTCCAGCCGGGGCCAGGCAGCGCGTGCTGGAGGGCCTGGCGCTCGCTCACTCGCCTGCAGCGCACTCACCCTCTGCCAGACCTGGCCTCGGGTGGGAGCATCCGTTCAGCACCGCTCTATGGCCTCACCCACCTCTCCAAGCCCCTCGCAGCGAGGCCAGGGCAGACCCCAGCCCTGAATGCACCGAGCTGCCTCACAGCACCCCCACCCCACCCTGCACCGCCCCACGCGCGGGGGCTGCAGGCACCAGCCCCTCTGCCGTGTGCGCCCCTGTGCGTGGTGGCCCCGAGGGATCAAAGAACTGGAATATCTGTGACTTTATTATATATTAAACAGTGGAACAAGCACGGGGCTTGGTGTCCTGCTCGGGGTGGGGGGGATGCCCTGTGGGAGGGCCCGGGCTTGCAGCTGAGCTCCCCGGGAGCAGAGGGAGGAGAGCGAGGCTCGTTCCCCCGGCACTGTGCCAAGCAGGGGGGTCTTCACCCCATCCTGTGCCCCCAGCCCAGCCCTGAGGGTGCTCCCGGCCCCAGGTGGTGGGGAGCCCTGGGCCGGGCTCCCCTGGGCCAGCCCTGCTCTGAGCTGTGCCCGGTCTCAGCTGAGCCGTGCCGAGAGCGCCTGCCCACCTCTGCCTCTGCGCCGGAGCTGCCTCCTGGCTGTGACACTAATTGGGCTCCGGCAGGCGGAACAGAGCCAGCCTGGGACAGCAGAGAAGTGAAAGCTCGTCACCTTAACGAAGTCTAATGATGCTGGCTGGCATCGCTGCTTTGTTCCTGTGCCTGGCCCCGTGTGAGAGCCGTGGGCAGGTGAGGGTGGGGTGAGCTGAGCCCGCTTTCCTCGTGAGGGGCTGGGGGCTGCCTGGACCTGCCTGGGCTGCGGTGGCTCGTGCCCCCGGCCACCCTGCCACCGCTTCCAGGGCTGACGGGTGCTGCTCTGTGCCCACGCGAAGGCCGGAGAGCAACGGAGACGCAGGGCCCTGACATCACCCTGCGGTGGCACGGAGCCCTGCGCTGGCTGGCGGCAGGGACGTTCCAGCCAGGCCGTGGTCCCTCCGGCTGCGTCAGCCCTGCGCTCCCAGCACTCGCATACCCTCTTCCTACGTCCCTTACGGCAGCTGAGCTGCACTGCGGCCGCATGGGCAGGACAGCATGTGCCAGACACAGCCCGGAGCACGGAGCATCCGGCAGCTGCACAGTGCGGGAGCGGGAGCGCTTCTTATCTCTGAGCATCAGAAAACGAGAGGCCTCGGGACTGCCAAGAGCCCCTTGCCAGCAGCATTTGCGTTCCCGGTAGCTGACTGTCCCCTCCTGGTCTCATCCTGCCCTCTGCCCAGGCCTCCGCCTGCCCCCGGGCAGCGTGCCGAGCCCCAGGCCCTGCTGCCCGCAGGGGCTCCCACAGGTCACCCCTCTGCCCGCACCGGGCAGGGCTGGGGGCTGCCGGTCCTCCCCAGGCCTGGAGGGGTGCGAGGGCTGTCTCCAGGGGGGCAGCCATGGGTCTGACCCCCCCAGTGCCCGTGAGATGCCCGCAAGCCCCAGCTTGTGCCCAGGCCGCTGGGGCTCCGGGGGCTGGGCTGGCCGGGCTGCAGGAGGGAGGACGCTCCGTGTCCCCGAGCTGCCACAGCCTGCACGGCCACCACGGCTGTCGGCCCAAGGTAAACACGTTTGTGCCCAACGTCTGGGCCAGGGCTCGGGTGGGCTGCTGGCATCCCTGCGGCCGGGGGGATTTGCCCGGGCCACGCTCCAGCCCCAGACCCGGGGCACGGGGGTGCCCAGGGCGTTTGCTGCTGCTGCGCTGGGATGTGTTTACCTGGTTGTGCTGCAGCAGGACAGCGTGCGGCAAACACGGACCCGTCACCGCCAGCGGCGGCCGGACCGAGGGGGTCGAGACAGCTGCCGGCTGCACGGCAGAGGTTTGTCCGGGTCCTCGCGGGGGCGAGCCCGGCTCCCGCGGCAGGACCGGAGAGCGGGACCGGGCCGGGGGGGACACAGTGCCAGGAAATCCCCGGGGACCGAGAGCCCCGAGGCTCTGCCGCCTCGCTGGGGGCCGGGGGAGGCTCCTCGGGGGACCCCGCGGCCCCCAGTGGGGGGGGGGC